CCTAAACATCAAATTATGTCTAGGTCATTGAATGGGTGGATACCCTATATTCTGTTTAATGCGTATGTTCAATTGCACACGTACTTCAACCGTGTCTTTATTTTAATAACAGACCAAGTACTGAAAACACATAAAGAAAGACTATTTTTCTACCTCAGCAAAAATACAGCTGATACACTGCATGACCCTTCATGAGTGACTGCTCTGTTTGTTCTGTTTACATGACATAGCCTAACTGGAAAAGGGAGAGAGGGGTGAAGATCAGCAAAAGACCAGAAACTCATTTTTAACAATTGATCTCGAAGAATAAATCACCATCTTGCTCTTCTTACTGTTCCTGCTAAATTAGCCATTTCTTCCTCAATATGTATCAGAAACATGTAAAATCCAATATTTTACATTTCTTCCAAATCCCTACTGAATTATATCAAATTACAAAGCAACGTTTTCCAACTATGCAGCCACAGATAAAACATATATGTAAAACATAAAAATACATCTATGCTTGTTCCTGAACTAATATGGATTTGCAGCTTTCACGCTTCTGTATTTCAACGTGCTTAATTCTTTCAAACAGCTACATATTTCTTTCAGGCAGCAGGAAGGTATCCTCATCTAGGATCTGGGCAGGAATCTAAAACTTAACCTTTTGCTTCGCTCAGTTCCTTAGGACAAATGAAACATACTCCCTTGCTGCGTTCAGGATGGCATGTTAACTAACCATTTAGAACAGAGGAGCAAATTTGATCAGGCTGTATTCTTCCATCTGCATGGAAGTGAATTTTCGCTCCGGTCAAGTACTTTAAATCCTTGTGAAGATATAAAAGGTAGTACAAATTCCACAATATTTTTACAGAAATATGTAGAATGGACCTTTACAAACAGCTCTTCAAGCATCAGCCTGTGTTTCTGTCACCCCAGAGATATATTAAAACTGATTTCTAAATACACTTACGCAGACATGACCACGATATGCTGAACTTGAGGGGGCTCACAGCAATCAGCAGCAGCGCTCTGAAGAGTCACTGCATCCACATTTCTCTTACATCTGACTTTGTACAAGCTCCATAACTACAGCTACTGATTAACATACAGATTGTACACTTTGGTTTGAATTGCCTGAAAGCTTTTCCCCCAATTAATATTCTGTAAATTGAATCACAGTTTTTAACAGTTAAATGAACATATTATCAGACCGCATCAAACTAATCTAAACTAAAAATGTTTTGCAGTCATTTCCTGCTCCAAATTTGAACATGCTCCCTTGGCTATCATTTGGTTCTATGTTTCTTTTTCAGCAAAATCAAACTTCAGAACAGCTCATTCGGCATACTGGCCTTTTAAGTTGCTTTCAGTGGCTTTTGACGCTTATTTTCTACACTCTTCAAATCAACACACACATATATATATGCACATCCACTCTTACACAAACAGGTTCACGAACTGCAATCAACAATTCTGTAAATATAAGTTTCCTAGTCATTAATCATTCCTCTTTTTTTTAATCCTTATGGAGTGAATTACTAACTGAGAGGAGACGCCAATTCTAGTAAGTGAATGTTACCCAACAGGGATATAAAGCTGTCAACACCATAGTGCTCTTGCTTGCTCTAAACTCTCTCCCAGGCTTCATATGTTTTTTAAAGCGATATTAGCCTTTTTTTCCAAGGAACCTTACTCTCCTTAAAATCTGAGCGCTTGTGTTTTATTACATACAGGTTTTAAAACAGACTGATCAGATAACTGTTGAAACACTTCAGAAAGCACTGGGTTGGTCAGGCAAACCAAAACTGGACTCTAATACATTGGACTGACGCTAACAACATTGTAAACAGTACCAAAACTTTTAAATCCCCTATTAAACACAACCTTTAACACCTCGTTTATCTTCTTAGTGACCTTCACTAGATTATTATAGCTGCTGTAATGGCCCTCTGAATTAAGTACATTCATGTTAGGAATAAAAAACCAGGAAAATCATAAGGCAAAATTTCTCATGAGAACAATTGTTTTTCTGTCTGCATTACAAATGCTTGTTTTAAAACAGTTTTTCACTCATAAAACTAGAGAGAAAGCTAGAAGCACCGATAGCATTTTATTTCTCTATTTCTCAGGGAAGTCACTAGAAAAACAATTGCAGTACGATTATAAAACTGGTTACCAAAGGTCATCAGGCTCATCATAGCAGCAGGTAGTTGAGAGCTTATTGCTCTGTTCTCACGAATTAACTTCAGAAACTGATATTATTACAATAAAAAGACACTTGACAAACAGGAAAGAATTTCAGCGTTTACATATCTAAGGCCCAAAATGAGATGAGAAAATTAATTGCCAGCATTTGGCTTTGCTTTCAAAATCCTTAGATACACATTATGAAATTAAAAATAAAACAAAGCAAAACTAAAATGGTCTCTAATTTTCAGTAAAGTATTACCATTTCTGTCCCAAATGCAATTCACATTCATTAAGTATTAGCTCTTGATAAAGCCCAAGAAATAAGAATAAACAGAACCACTGACAACTGAAGCCTCGGGTGTCACTTCACTATGACTTTCAATAGTTTCCTTTTTGTCAGACTCTAGGCACAATAGTAGGAGAGTCCCTATCAATATTTATTTCAAATAATTTTACACTAATTTGCCAGTAAATTAAAAGTAAGCCCTTCCACAAATGTCTACAGATGCATTTCACAATTTCAGTGAAAAAACAACTAACACCACAGTAATCACTGCAAAGACTTCCAAAAATACCCGAAACAGGTGTGATCCGCATTCAGGAAAAGATCGCTTGATCATAACAGGTTCTTAAGGATCAAACTTGAAAAAGAGCAGAAAAAAATATCTGGAAATTAGCTGTGTTGATTTATTGTGAGAGTATTTCCAGGAGAAAAAAAAATTAATCAATTTTAAACAGCACCATTATCTTATTAAAAAAAAAAATCTGCCTTAACTAATTTAGTATTGAGTATTATAGAACCTAGGTAAGTATTTAGACAAGAATAATTTTCTTCTTGCTTTCAGCATCAATAAGGAGTAATGAATAACCTTTATTATGAACGGCCCAAACCCAAAGAGACTGTGACTGCTTAAAGAACACCAGCTAAGGAAAAAAAAAAAAAAATACTCTTGCATTTCTTCTGCATTTCTTATTCCCCCACACTTCTACACTCCCATCTACAACACCTTTAATAAATGAGCTGGAGAGTAATGAATAGGCTCTTAAAAGTTTGCTTTCAGAAATGAAAGTCTTTTTCGTAAGTGGAAGAAATCTTCCATAGCTTAATAGGCCAGACTCAGGCTGAACCACCGATATAACTATAAAAGCTGTTGAATTTCTCTTGGATAACACAGCTGCAACTAGGAAGCAAACATATATTCCAAAACATTTAAAAGAGTTCTCTTAAGGTATATTTCTATAAATGCCCGAAGGAAAAAGATTTCAGCTCTAATTCTAACATTCCTTTAAAAATCAAGCAGCTTTAATGTCCAAGCCTTGAAAAAGGCATCTAAAACTACATATGCTACTTTTTATATGATTAACTAGTTCCTTTTTACAATAACTCAAAAAATTATTTCTTCACCAATTTCTAAGTGGAATAGTATTACAAGTCTTTCACTGCAAAGCTGTTTCTTCTTTTTCCATACATTGGAAGAACACAGAGAAGAGGATTAAAACTAGATATATAGAAACATAAAAAACTAGTGAGCTCTCTTACCCTTCATTAGGTATATAAATGAATCCTATGCTTTTAAAATAAAATCTGCAGCTCCTTAGCAAACTTCAGCAATTAGGAAGCCTATAGAGCCAAAGAGGTCTAAAACAAGCATCTAATGGTAAAATCGCTAAATAAACCTCACGTAATAGAGAGTCATGTGACAACCATTTCAATGTATCTCTCAAAATGCCATTTACACGAACTCCTTGTGTATAAACAACTACAAATATGTGTTACCACTCTGCTCATTTTAAAACACAAATACAGAGATTTTTTTTTTTTTTTTTAAGGTAGAGTTATTGGTGGACTTTCCGGCTGCATTCTGCCCACATCATCTGGCTAATTGCAAGGTTTTTAAATATATTTTTCCTAACACGAGGCTGCACTGTCTTAAACACGACAGCATCAGAGTTAAGAGAAAAAAAGAAGGCATTTCAGAGAAGTGTCTGGAAAGTTTATCTGCTTGGAAGAAAAGGAGGGGAAAAAGCAACCACGTACTTAATATGTTCTTAATACAAAACTGACCAGCAACTTGATAGCAAAGTAAGAAAGATAAAGTATTCTAGAGAAATGCAGGAAAACTGCAAAACTAATGCACAATATATTTGCTGAAAGAGATGAACCTTGAACACTTCCTATCTTCTTTTACAACAACTGCTACAAAACGCTACGAAAGAAAAATAAATTCCCAAAATGCTACCATAAACGTTACCATTTTTCCCGCTCTGCTGACCCCATTCTTAAAGCTGTGACGGTGGGTGTTAACGCACCTAACTGGTGTCACCCGCATCCGTGAAGCAGCCCGAGCGCCCGCGCTCAGCCCCGCAGGCGCTGCCCTCTCCTGCGGCCGCTGCCCAGGCCCGCTGCCGTGCCCTGCGGGAGCGCCACCGGCCACGGGGATGCCCGCGGGCTGCCCAGGGCGATCCGCACCAAAAAAGCGCCGAGCGCAGGACACGCTCGCACCCCGTTACCCTCCGGCAGGATCAGCTCCGGCCTTCTGAGAGCCACCCGGCCAGAGCCCGATCCGGGGTGGCCTCTTTCGGCAGGCGGCCTTCTAACGCCGGAGGGCTGCGCGCCGCACTCCCGGTCCAAGTCTTCCCGCGGATCCCCATCACCGCAGCGGTGCCCAGCAGCCAAGTGCTCGCCCGGGAAAGCGGGCAGCAGCCCTTCCTGCAGCTGCCACTCGGACCTGCCGGCTCCTCCGCGCACGGTACCGACCCGCCCGCCACGCGCTCCCCCGGGCCCGCCGCCCTACGCGCCCCGGGCGGCGGAGCCGCACTGTTACCTCCCACGGGCTTGGTGACGGCGCCGTTGGGCCTCCCGCGGGTGCCCATGGGGCTGCCGTTCTGCTCCAGCCTGGCCACCTTGCCGGGGGGAGGCCCTTTGACATCGGGGCTGCCGCTGCCTCTGTCGGGGCTGTCCCGCAGGCAGGGGCTCTCGCTCCTCCGCTCCATGCTCGGAGACGCTGCTCCCGCTGGCAGGTCGCAGTAGAAGGAGCACGGACCTAGGGCGAGAGAAACAAGGGGCGCTTCAGTGGCCGCCGGCCAGTACCGGGCCCCGCTCACCCGGCCGGGCGCCCGCTGCGCGTCTCCAAGGCGCTCAGCTCCGTGAAGCCGGGCGAGTAGCGGCCGGGTGCGATGCCGCCCCGCTCCAGCCGCCGGAGCCGGCCCCGCTGGAAGCGAATGGTTCGCTTCACCCGCCCGGCGCCAACCTGCCGCGGGCGGGGGCAGGCAACGCTGCGCCCCGGTTCCCATCGCGCTCGGCAGGCGAGCAGCCCACTCGCTTGCCGCAGCCAGGTGCTGCGCCCCGGGTCCGGCCACAGTCCCGGCCCGCCCCCGGGGGCCGCGGGGAAGAGACTGCCAGTCCAGACGGCCCCGCTGGCACGGCCCCCCCCGCGCCGGCCAGCTGTGCAGCCACGGAGTAGCCGGCTGCCGGCGAGGAAGCCTCTAGCGAGCGGCTCCCGAGAGCTGCCGCTGTACTTACTGCTTATAGCCTGTCTGTAAGTTGGCTGAGTTGGGCTCTGTCCATGGATCAGAAGTAGAGAATCCAGGGTGGAAAGTTTTCCCGTTTCCTTCTCCCACGCCGCGTTCTTCGCTTCTACTCCTTCCCCCCACCCCCAGCCCCCTCCTCGCCCTCCTCCGGGGGTGCTGGGGCGGCGGGGCCGGGGCGGCTGCCCGCGGGGCCGCAAGGGCAGAGCCCCGTCCCGGAGGGTCCCGGGTGGCGAGCGGAGCGGAGCGGGGAGATCGGGACGAGGGGGCGGGGAGGCGCGGGGCCGTCGGCTGCGGCGCGGAAGAGAAGGGAGAGGGAGCCGATTTCTCACACCTTCAGCCGAGAAAATCAATACCGGGGGAAACAGGGGGAGGAGAAGAGGAGGGAGCGCCGCTCTCCCGGGCTCCGCGGCGGCGGCGGCGAGTGCCTGGCGGCGCGGGGAAGTGGCGGCGGCGGCCCCCCGTGTGTCACTTTCAATCGCTCCCTCCTCTGCCAGCGACAGCAGCGGCAGGAGGGACTCGCCACAGAGAGCGGAGAAACGGTTATTAGTTGCGTTGAGTCATCGAGGCAAAGTGAGTCCTTTTTGGGGTTGTCCTTGCTTTCGGGTTTGGTGTATGTGCACGCCTGTGTGTGTGTCTGCCTGTCTGTCTGCGCGGCGTTCCCGTCCCAGGGCTGTGCATCCCAAACATCGCCACCCCTCCTCGCCTTGACACCCCTCCCCCTCCCCGCCCCCCCGCAAAAATCAAGTCTCGCTGCTACCTCGGAATCGGGCACAGACGGGCGCGCAGCAGCCCACCTCCTCCCGGCCCGGCCCGGCCCGGCCCGCCCCGCGGAGCCCCGGCCCCGCTGCGCGCACGGGTGGGAGGCAAAAACCCACCTGGCAGGAAATTAAACACCAATAAATAAATAACACATCTCGCACGCGAAAAAGGAGCGCGGTGCCGCGCGAAGGGAGGGCGTAGGGCGGGCTGGGTGGGGAAGGGGAAGCGTGGCAGGACGAGGCGGTGGTGACAGGAGAGACCCAGGGCAGAAAGGCGCAAGGGCAGGGGCACCCGGGCTGGGGGAGGGCCGAAAGGGAACGAGAGGAGGAGGAGCCGGGAGAAGGGGAAGGGCGGGGGGGAGGGGGGGGGGATGGTGGGGAAGTGAGAGTTGGGGGCACCGGACCGACCGAGGAGGAGCAAAGCTGCCACCGGCATTCAGTCCAGTCGCCCGGGTTGGCCCGATGCAGCCCGTGCGGCCTCACCGCCTCCTGCCACCCGCCCCCCACCCCTGTCCCCCTGAGAACCGACCGACGGCGGGGATCCTCCCGCAACCTCTCTCCGCCAGGGCGAGGCGACAATAACTTTTCACGGTGCGGTGGGGGCTGCCGCCCCGAGGGTCGGTCGCGCTTCCTCCAGGCCTCCAAGAGCCAGCGACCGGCCCCAGGTAGGGCCCCGCCGTCGCCCTGTTCTCCGCGCCCGGCTCCAGGCAGTTACCGGGGTGGTCCTGAATAATTGATGGCGGGGGCCGGGAGAAGGCGACAAGCGGGCAGGGAAGCGCTGCTGCTGCCGCCGCTAAATTATTTAATAGCGGAGCTCCGGGTAGGGCATGACAGCGCTACCTAAGTGCAGACAGTGGTGCGGGCAAAGCTCCAGCCGGGAAGTCGCAGCGGGGCGGGATCGAGCCCCTCACCAGTCCCGGGGCGGCGAGCGGTCACCCGGCAGGCAGGCAGGCAGGCAGTCCCCTCTCTCTCTGATGCAAGGTGCACCTCGCCGCTCCCTGGGGCCGGCGGCGGCGCGGGCGCGTCTCCCGGCGGTGCCATGCCCCGAGGACCCGCAGCGCCCCCTGCCCGGCCCGGGGGGCGCGGGGGAATGAGCCGGCGGCCCCGCGCCGCCGAGCCCTCGCCGCCCGCCCGGCGGCGGAACGAGACCCGCGTTAAGGTGGACCGAGGGGAATCCCTTCTGGCGCGGGGGGCGGGCGGCGGACGGACGGCGGGGAAGGAGGCGGCGGCGGCGGGCACCCAAAGTGCCCCGACACCCCCCTCCTCCGCCTCCCCCGCCGCCCGTCCGCGGCTGGCTCCCTGCGCGGCGCCGCCCTCCCCGCCGTGCTCCCTTAAGAGCTCTGCCTTTTACGGTGGCGCCGGAGGGTCAAAAAAAAAGGGGGCTACCGGGGGGGGTTAGTGGGGAGCGGAGCCCCCCCATCTCGGGCACGGCGACACTGAGGCCGTCGGGAGCATCACAGGCACCGGGCAGTCCTGGTGACAGATCTTCGTTCGTCCCGTAAGCGCCCGGGGACAGTAGTGTGGGCAGCAGTGGTTGCCCCGAGCCCGCACGCAGTCGTCCCAGTGCTGCCTCGGGGCTCGGAGGAGGGTCCGGTCCCCACAGGAGATCGGCTGCCGCCGGTCCCGCTGTGCCCCTCCTCCCCTCCGAGTGGTACTGACAGCCCACACGCCCGCCGAGCGCTCCGGTGTCCCGGTGAGCTCCGGGCCGCCCCTGAAAATAGTACCAGGAGAAGCAGCGGATCCCCGGGCAGGGTAAGAGAAATCATCCCTTCGTTCCACATCCGATCTCCGGGCCGGCCCCGAAAAGCAGTGCCAAGTGCGGCTTTCCCCGTCTCTGCCGAGGCTCTCGTGTCCCTCCCCGCCTCGGCAGGGGCAGGGGGACCCGCCGCCGAAGTCTGGACGCGGTGTCAGCTTTGCCCCGGGACAGCAAGCCGTGAACGCGGGTGGGAGCCGCGTTCCATCGCCGGCTGAAGTCGGGGGGAGCCAGAGAGGATACGGGGAACAGCGGAAGGGCGAGGGCGGGGGGGGCCCGGGACACCGCAAGGGCCAGGGCTCCGGGAGCGGTCGGAGAAGCGAGCGGCGGTGCCGGGAACGCGCAGGATGCGGAGGAGAGAGCGCGGCGGCTGCCGCCAGCCAGATCCCCCGCCTTCCCTCTCAGAAAGGAGCCTCAAAGTTTGGAGAACTCTGTTTTCTTTTTAAATAACCCGATCTAACTTTTCTCCCCTTCCCCCCCCGCCACCCCTAAATTTGATAAAGCTCAGCAGCATGGAAGTTAACGTTCTTATATGGAAGTTAAAGTTTTCCACCAGCTATCGAATAATTGAATAATGTTTTGTTCTTACCTTTGATGTTGAACTACGAATGCCCGCGGATCAATGGCCAGAAAGTTAGAAGAATTGGTGATTTAGGACTTCAGTACTTCTGGAAAAAAAAATGCCAATGGTTTAGCCAGGATCTTCCCTGTCTGATTCGTTACTATTATTATATCTGATGATGTGGATGGATGGAGAGATTCAATCCAAGCCCATTAATGAGGTATTTTATAAACACCACCGTCTGAAGATCTTCATTTACATTTTGTCAGTGATCCTTTCCTTAACAGCGGAGACGTGTGGCGACAGCACGATTACAGGACTTTAGTAAAGCTCCTATAAGAGTACAACTGGCTTGTTAATCGATTAATATTTTATTAAGTGTAAATATTTTATAAAGTTTTTAGGAAAACTATCGATTCTAAATTATTAAACTAGTCAGAAGGGCATTTGAATAATGCATACAATTAAATACATTTAAATATATATGTAGCGATTGCTTCATTTGCAATTAATCCCCTGCACCTTTCTCTTGCTTTCGTTTTTTCTCCACCGGCAGCTGGTTTCTCATTTGCACATTCACTGGAATATCAGGACTACCGAATATGTGTTTAGTCCGTATTTATAAACTGAACGTTTACATAAAATACTCTGAGAAAATATCTTTGAAATCGGGAGCCATAATAATTTGAAAATTTCGATGCGGAAGCAAAGGGGCTTGTTAGTGAAACTGAAGGAAACTTAACCGAGTTTGTATAAATGTTGTTTGGTAACTTCTGTTGTGTAAACATCACTTAATTTATATGGATTTTATGAAGCATGATGCTTATTTTTCTTTCACATATTTTTTCTCAATAAAAGACTTCTCTCTGTTTCGAATTACAAACATTTTTTTTCCCCCGTTGCATGACTTTCACATGTCCTGATTTCCACTGAAAAAAAAATATTGTTTCCCATTGCTTTCCTCACCCGTCTTCAATGTCGCTATTAAAAAAACCCATAATTTTTAAAATAATAATAATATTAATAACCTATTTTTCTTTTTCTAACACGAACTTCGGAACGAGAATTTTTTGCTCTCTCACTGTGATGGGAGCAGAAGTGGATGCGCTCCGAATGCCCAGCGCTCCTTGTTACTGAAGTTTGCAAACGCCTTAAGTCGTTGATTGCCAAAAAATTTTGAACAAAAACACCTCCTTGGCAAGATTTGGTTTTCATTAACTACCGCTTTTAGAGCCAAAACGCATGGAAGCGATCGCAGCTCTGTGCCCACACAGGCTTCAGAGGCGGGCGGCTGCAGCCGGGGCTGACGCGACCTCCCGGGCCTCCGCTGCCCGCTATGCCGCCCTCCGGGCCGGGACAGCTCTCGCCTCACGCCGCCGGCCCGAGAGCCGGCCCTCGTGGCTCT